AAATAAAATTTAGGGAATAAAGATTCTAAATGTCAGAAAAGAATTTTATAAGAGTAAGATAAAAAATAATTTTATGAGAGGAGAGTTGTATAACAGTTTCTAGTTCTTCCATTTGTAATTATATTTTCTTTCACGACTGTTGTGCGTGATCCCCACTATTTTTTGTATTATTTTTCACGTGTCCAAATGATTTAAGTAACTCTCCCGCCAACTATTTCTTCCTTATTCACGTTACATATTGCTCTATTCTCATGTCTGGTCGCAAAATTAGGTTTTACGAAAACCGTTGGTTAGGCTTTGGATATCATAGGAATTCATGGAGTATGCTTATATGCACGGCGGAGTTAGGGACCGTAATTAGTCCTGTATGACAGGAGGTTAGTGCGCGTTCACGTTTTCTTCATTTAAAAAAAGAGAAGTGATATTATGATAATTAAGAAACCTACCATAACCTACTTTTTATTAATATAATAATTATAAAAATATTTAATAAAAATAAATTAAATTATTATTATTATAATATTAAAATATTATTATTATTTGGATGTCAAAATGTTATTTATATTTAAAAAATAGGGTCAAAAAATAATAAATTTAAATTTTTAAATATTAAAATTTTAAAAGAATTATTTTTTAATTATACATCATAATGATATATATATATATATATATATATATATATATATATATATATACTTCATTCAAAATAAAGTTTATTTTTTATTTTTTATCTTTTATCTTTTTAAAATATTCTATGTTAATATTAATAATATCTAATATTATTTTTTTATATTATTTTTATTAAATTTTATTATATCATACTTTCTTAGATTTAGTATTCTTATTATAATATATCAAAATTTATTTTAATCAAATAATTATATTTTAAAATATTAAAAAAATTAATAATTACCACTTATAATATTTTTTACTAATTAAATAAAATTAATTTATTAAAAATTTTCTTATAAATTATATATTTTATATTTATTAATATTTTAAACTTAACAAATAATTTACTTATTTAGATTATCAAATATTTAAATATAATGTTATAATATAATAATAATAATAATAATATTTTATATCTGAATAAAGAAAAAATAATTAAATATTTATTTTTACATACATATTTTAATATAAATATAATAAATTAAAATATATATTTATATATATATAAATATTAAAATTAATTTATTATAAATATAATTATTTTTTAAAAATAATATAGAGGTGAATGAAAAAAAAATCTTAAATATGAGGGAGATGGAGATAATGGTTTTATTTTTGTCATAGTTTGAAAGAGGTTCTCCAAGCATGTCGGTTTTTTTTTTTTTCTGTAATCTTTATCTTACCCTAGACATGCTTTTATCCAACCTCGTGCTCTTCTTAGATTGGTCATTATTAGGTACCAGCTTTTTTCAGGTGTGATCCCTGGAATATCCGGGATCGAAGACACTTATCCTCTGTTATATTTGTTCATTTATGATTTGTTTGGTTGAAGTCATTTGAGAGAGTGGAAATAGAAACGTGAAAAATGAGGGATTTAAAAAAAAATAGAGGTAAAATTAAAGTTGTTTGGATGAATGGAAAGTGAAAGAAAAATTTATGGAAAATTGTGAATGATTTGATTGATATGAGATATAAAAATTATAATTTTAATTGATTATTTAAGAAAATTACCATTTTACCCTTGTGTATAAAATAAGGTTCAAATTATTATAAATATAATTTTTTAATTAATTATCCATATTTTAACATTGATTATATATTTAAAAGAAAAAACAAATTTAAAAGTGTTTGTAATTGGAAACAAATTTAAAAAATTAACTTTTTTAAAAATAGTTATTAAAAATTATATAAATAAACAATTACAAAATTATGTACATTGCATATCCATAAAAAAATAATTTTGACATATTAAATAAATTATTTGACTAATAATTAAATAATTATAAAATATAAAATAATAATTAATATTGACTAATAATAACAAATAATTATGAAAACTAATAATATAATTATAAATTATTATTTTAAATAAATATAAAATACAATAAAAATAGAATAATAATTAAATGAAAAATTCATGTAAACTTAATAGTAAAAATGTTTTATTATTTAGTTAAAAATTATATTAATATATATTTTTGGCATATTTTTATATTTTCAACATAAAATAAATAAATAAATATATATTAGAATTACATGTCATAAATTTTAATTATCAAATAATATTAGTTAATACAAACATTAGATATTTGACAAACATGACTAAAATTATAAACCTATGCACACTAATGTTCTTCAAACAAATAATTATAATATTATCGATCATTTGCGAGTCAAGTCCTCGAGTTCGGATAATTTAATCACTTCCACTCAAGAACATGAACAACCTGGGAGAGACGAAGATGTGAGGGCAAACCAAAAAGTCGTCTAACATGTGACTCGTGAGTACACAAATGATTATAACACTCGAAGCATAAGTTGCTCGTCATTTAGGTTCATGCCGACTAACATGTCCCATATATCTGACTCTGAATGTTGAAATGTTGATGATCATCTCGTCACATTAACTTGCTCATTAATTAAATCATTTCTGCGTTCAATGGCGACCACCTGTCTTTCAGCTATGTCAGATAATCGTTGGGTCAATGTATTACCTTGCCCAAGGTAATCTGTAAATGTGTCTAACCTCATTGTTAGTTTGTCAAATTGACCTTCCATCACATCAACCATAGGCGTTTTTCTTTTTGTGCCCCAAGATGAAGAGGTTCCACCTGAACCAGTAGACGCAACAGATGGAATTGATCGAGCACCCTCAACAGATCTGTCGGAACCCATGCGTGGAGGTGATCGATAAGTTGTATCAAATCCTGCATCAAAGCCAAAGTGAAATGGTTGCATCAAAGTTGAATATATTTTTATGTAAAATTATATATATATATATATATATATATATTCTAAAATATAATTTATATTAATTACTATAATATAAAATATACATTGCAAATATAACTTATTTTCATTTATATATATTATACAAATTAAAATAAATTATATTTTAGAATATATAATTTATATATATATATATATATATTCTAAAATATAATTTATATTAATTACTATAATATAAAATATATATTGCAAATATAACTTATTTTCATTTATATATATATATATATATTATAGAAATTAAAATAAATTATATTTTAGAATATATAATTTTTCAAATGATCGATTACTTTTCCAAATGATCGATCACTTTTTCAAATAATCGAGACTTTAGATAGCGGTTAACGTGGATCCACTATCGTATGTTCACTTTTAAGAGGGGGTAAGATATTAACTCGCTCTTAAAAGTGAACCTATGATAGCGGTTCCACGTTATCCGCTATCTAAAGTCTCGATTATTTGAATATATTTTTATGTAAAATTATATATATATATATATATATATATATATTAATGAAAAATAAGTTATATTTTAGAATATATATTTTATATTATAGTAATTAATATAAATTATATTTTCTCAACTTTTTGCAGAGATTCTTAAGAATCTCTCGTATGCATGCACCAGTGAATCTTGCGAGTGAGGGTAAATTGGACATTTCAATTTGTCCAGGGGGCTTTCATCTCTTTTCTTCATGCATCAGCGAAGAACCTCTTTCTTCCATCTCCCGCTTTTCTTCGCTTTCATTTCGTCATATTTTTGTTCAATCAAACGTGTGTCATCTTCGTGCTTCTATCTTCGTTAACAGTATATCAGTGGAAACAAACACAACGTTAGGGAGGTGAATGCCTGTACACTACAATTTCTAATTCCAATGGACCTGGGACAAGAAGAAAAACAATTAAAGTTAGAACAAAGATGAGAGGTCAAACCGATTTCCCATGTTGCCATATATCTAGACAAATTTGATTATATTTTTTTTAATTTATAATTTTATTCTATTAAAAAATTTGAATTTTAAATATAATATTTTATTAAATTCGTTAATTTAAATAAAATATTATATATAAAAAATTAATATAAACCACCTATATATTTGAGATTGTTAGAAAAAAATTAATAAAATAATAATAATCGATAATTCATTAATTATTCATATAAAATAAAGGGATATATGTTTTGTTATCTTAATTATAATATCAGAATTGTTAAAACTAAACATTATAATACTCATTGAAAATAATGAAACTAGTGGGAGTTAAAAAAAAAAAATTCTTGAATGCATATTCCTCTAACTTATGCCTTTAATTATAATAATAAAGTAAGTATTTTTTTTAACTGCTATGTTAAATAACAATGAAGACTAATAATATAATGATGAATCATAATTCAAAATAATATATTGAAGAAGAATTATAAAAATGGAGATCTTATCTTGATTATACAGAAAATATCATTGTTCCATCTAGTATGAATAAGAGTTTCTATAATAACATTAGTTGAGTCAATTACTTAAAATTATTATTTATTATAGAACTTTAATCTCTTAAAATTTATTTTTTAAAGGGACATATGTGAGTTAAAAAAAATATAAATTATTTTTTATCACAATTCTTAAATAATATATGAATTATCCAAACATTTTTTTAAGATGAAATGTAACAATAAAAATCATCTCTATTAAACAAAAGTAGTCTAGTTAATTCATGACAAGAAAAGAAAAATTTTGGTACAAAATAGAACTAATGTGTTGGATCATACAAGTCAATGCTTCTTAGTTCAGACTGGTTTAGTTTCACGGTATTAACACGTGAGCAAACTAAGGGAAAAAAAATGATTTTGTGAGATGTAGATGACGTCAACCAACATTTCCTTGGTTATTTGTGGAGGTGTTTTGTTATTTTTGCAAACAAGGAAGGAGCTACAAGTAATTATGCAATGTGTAATTTTTGAGGCAGAGTGTACCACTAGGATCCGAAGGTGGTTCAAATAGAATGGGATATTTTTTTGTTTGATTTCTTTTATTTACTTATGGTAGTACTATGTTGTTTGTTTGTATCGGACTTAGAACCCATGTGAATGCAGCGTGCCCTGACACAGCGACAGAGCCAACCCCGCACCATCGCTAGATGACTAAACCGATCAATAAATTTTTGGAGAAGACACGCACGTGTAATGTTTGTATTTATGTTGTTTGAATTTTAAATACTCGTTTGGTCCTAATTTTTTAGTATGTTCAATTAACTACGTCAATCATTAAATTGATAATGAAATATTGTTTAATTTTTACTTGATAGTTTAAATAAATGAATATTCAAAACATTAACATAGTCTCATACAAAAATACACATTTTTGTTATAATCTAGATGAAAACCATTAATTTTAAAATTAAGTTTTTTTGATACAATTAATAAAAGACCATTATATGAAAATTATTAATTTTAAAATCTATTTGAGTTTTTTATTTTATATAATTAATAAAAAAAGTATTATAATTATATTAAATTTTAAAAGTAAAATATAATTTCCATATAATAATTATTATAAACACCTGTGTTTAATAAAGTTATAATATTCATTTTGATTTTCATTTAATATCTATTGTTTTCATAAGTTTTTAATGGTAACTTTTAAAATTAAAGTTAGTTTTATATTAGATAAATAATTAAGTAATTATAATATTTATGGTTTTAATTGAAAAAATTTTGATTTCATAAAAAATTATAATTAACTCCAAATGTTTATTAACAAATTCACTATGTTTTTTCTGGTAAAACAATACACGATGAATTATTTTAACTTATATTTTTAATCACACTTAAATCTAAATTTAGACATGAGAATATAAATCACTTAATCCTTATCATCACATAAAAATAATAATTTTTTAACAATAATTCAAAATTTAATAGAATAATTAATAATATTTATAAAAAATAAAAAAATTATACTAAATATAAACATTTGTTATACAAAAATATTTTTACTAACTATTTTTAATAGAATAATTTTGACTAACTATTTATAATTACATCATCCTGTCAATTTCTTATTCACACATCTAAATTTACTTTTATATATACTCATCATAATATCTAATGAAATAAGTATAAAAAGAGAATTTAGATAGTAGTAAAAAATAAATTATTATATTTATATTTTCATTATAATTATATATTTTATTTAATTTTCTAATTATATAATGTTCTAATTAATAATTTATACTAACAAGTTGAGTTAATTTAGTTTTATTTTATATTTAACCAGTTTTTGAGATCAAATTCATACAACTTTAAATCGAATAAAGATATAAGTAAATTTGTTTAAGTTATGTTTGATTCGGAAAAAGAAATAAAGACGAGAACAAAGAAGAAATGAATTTTAAAAAATTGAAATAGAAAAAATGAAATAAATATTTATTTATTTAGTATCGCAAATATATATATATATATATATATATATATATATATATTTTAATTGATAGAAATAGTAAAGATAAAAATAGTTAAATAAATTTATTATTTTCATTTTTTAACTGAACAAATAAAATTAAGTTTGTCCCTTCTTCCTCTCTCCCAAACCAAATATTGTTGTCTGTACCATGTTCCACTCAGTCTGACATGATTGAAGAAAATTGGAAGAAAAGTTTGTATAGACACAAAATAAAAAAGAAATCTTGGTATGTGATGCAGGTGGAGGTGGACATCATTCATGTCACAGTTAATACTCACAGTAGACAAATATATGTCTGGTGGGACTTTGACGATAAAAGTGAGCCTTTTTTTTTTTTTTTCAATTATATGAACAAAAACCTAAATATGTGAATATTATGGAAACATTTATAATTATGGAGCGTTTACCAATTTTGACAGTATCATCATGGAGGGCTACGCTCCAATGAAGGCAGAAAAAAAATCATATATAATTTATAAATATATGAATTTAATACAATTAAATATTTATTAAATTTTTATGTTATTAATTATTTAATTAAAATTTTAATTTTATTATAATTAGATAAATAATTAATTTTATGTGAAAAAACTATATAAATCTTACTATGATAGTATGTCTGCGGTTACTTATGATTTTTCATGAAATTAAATGTGTATATAATTAAAATTATATTATATTATATATCATATATATATTATTTAATATTATGTATGATTAAAAGTTTAATAAAAGTAGTTATTAAATAAAATATTTTTATCATATTAAATATATTTATTTATTACAGAAATTGTATGAAAAAATATTTGTATTAAAAAAATATGTATGTATAAGATAGAAAAATGAAATAAAAAAATTGCACATCCGGTTATGTAATCATGAGTTTCACCTACTTAAACTAGCAGTAAAATAAATTTATAATTTATAAAAATCGACTTTTTTTTTAATTTTCGTCTTGTTGATTTTTGTGAGTTTTCAATCTCGTCGTTTGTATTTTTCTACTCTCAATTCATTTTGGTTGCACATTATTTATAGGTTTTGTGTTTTACTGCTCCCAACTCATTTTTGTTACATATTATTTAAAAAAATTATATTTATAATAAATTAATTTTAATTTTTAATATAATTTTATAAAAAATATTTTTTAATTGTAATTATTATTATTAATTAAAGATATATTTTTAATTAATTATATTTATATTAAATATATATATATATATATATTTAATTATTTTTTGTTATATAAATATAAAATATTTATAACATTATTATTATTATATAAATTAATAAAAAAATATTTAATAAGTTAATTCTTATTTAATTAGTTAAAATTAATAAAAAAATATTTTTTAATTATTTAAAATATTATTATTTTATTAAAAAAGTTGATATATAATAAATAAGAATAATAAAATTGAAAATTTTATAAATATGAGACTGGTGGAGATTAAATTCCCAAGATTTTAAGTTTAATTAGAGATGAAATAATATAACTAAATAATGTATAAATAAATTCTGTTAACAATAATATCCTTGAGTTGATAATAAAATTTAAAAACATTTATCAACTTTAACTTTTTGTTTTCTGTATTTTTTTTTTTTAAGTTTCAATTGTATTTTAGGCTATTTATACAGCGTGAATGAAAAAAAAACGCTATAAATTACTTAAATGATTTTATTCATGAAATATTTCTTCTTTTAATTAGGTAAAATTCTAAGAAAAATAACTAAATCATAAGTAAACTAAGATAGTAGTCGGAAAATGGTTTATTATATTTTTAATTATATGATAAATTGAGAAAGGTTGGAGTTAATTAGGTAAAAAATTCCCAATGGTTAATTTAATCACATGTTAATAGTCAAATAAATGATAATTCATATCATAAATTAGATTACTTTCATTTGGTCTAAAAGAGAAACAGATGATCCTTCTTTTACATTTATATTTCCATTGAGGCTTCCTATTCTTCGTTACACTTGGTATAAAAGTTACATTTATATCAGGATGTAGAAGACGAGGCCCAGTTCAGAAGGCTCAGTCTCAGGTCCAAAACCACAAAGCCTTAAAAGGATATTTTACATACGGGCTTGGTCCCTTAGACAGCAAACTCGACCAACTTTAATATAACTATGGAGACTTCGTTCCACCATCATCGACTCAACTAATTCATAAATTAAACGAGTTAAAATTTGATTTAAAAATTATAAGATTGTTTGGATTCTTAGTTGAGCAGTAAATTAGAAGAAAAAACGTATGATAATTTTAAAAATGAAAATAAATATATTCATTATTAGTATAGTTGATAATAAAAAGATTATGTAGACAATGCTAAACTTAATTATTTCATTAATAAATTATTTACTAACCAATAAATGTATTTTATGATTAATCATCAATAAACTATTTATTTCATTTGTACTTAGGTTATGTTTGTTAAAGATTTTCATACAAGTGAACAAGGAAATGCCTGTTTTCATATTTGATATTGAAAAAAAAATTTCTTATGAATATTTGATTATAAGAGATAATGTTTGAATTAAATTGAGTTCAATAGATCTATGTTTTCGCAGTTTTCAACTTTTTATATCTAAGATTTTAAATTCATTATATACATGATTTTTTTTTTCAAAATGATAACACATGTTATATACATATATTTATATTTATATTTATAATTTTATTATACAATAAATATATTTTTTATATGTTTTATTTTTACTTTTAAACTAATTTTTAGTTAATAGTAATAAATTACTCTAATTTTATATTTTAAATTAATATGATCTTTATTCAATGTTTTGGTCATGACATTTTTCTAAAAACATTATTTTTACTAGTTCAAGTTATATTTAATTTTACATTTTTTTTACTATTGAATTTAGAATTTTATATTATTTTCTATTGTTTTTAAAAATTTGGTCAAATTTGTTGAAATACTATAAAGAACTTATACATATTTAATTTTCATTTATATTATATTATATTTTATAATTGAACTCATGAATGTAGTTAGAACTAATATAAGTTGATGTTTACCTCACATTCGATAACCTTTATATAAAATGAAAGGAAGAACAATAAATGAAAAAGAAAAAGAAAAAAATTACAAATACATTTGATACAAAACAAATGAGGATTTTCTGGGAGTATCCTATTTTAAAGCCTCCAACAAAAACACTTCGAGAAAATCATGTTAACACATGGTTCAGATTTTTTTTTTAATTTTTTAATATATAACTTTTTATTTTTATAATACTGTAATACTTTATTTTTGTTTTAATATAACAGATGTAATAATCCTTCAATAATATGTTATCAAAATTATTAATTTTAATTGGGTTATTAAAGTTAATATGGTTTCAATGATAATCACGTCAATTTGATCCATGAAAATTATTAATAACAAAATTTAAGAATAATATTTACTATTAATTATCACAAAAGATATATTTTAATATTGGTAGTTAAATGATATATTGATAGCGGACAAAAAATATTTAATTTTTAAAAATTTAAAAGATATATTATATATGTAATTAAAGTAAACAAAATAAAAAATATAAGTAGAGTTAAACCTTTAAATTATAAATCCAAGTAAGCTATTAACGTAAGCTAACCCAGCCCTATTTATTTTATGATAAAGTTGTAATGGACCGGCCCAAATAGCTCAGGTTGGGCCCTTTGTGCCCGTTATGGTTCAAGCTATTCCAGTTTTAGTGATATTGTAAAAAAAAAAAAGGATAAATAATACATTTGGTGAAGAGATTGTCAATTTAATATTTTCAACAACTAAAGATGATGTAGTTAATATTTAAAATAAAAATTGATTATTAAACATTATAAGTTAATTTAAATTAGTTTTTTAAATTATATTTTAATAACAAAATGATTTTAAGCTTAACAACATACTATAATGAAGATAATTTTTACACATTCGATATATATATATATATATATATATATATATATATATATATATATATATATATATATATATCGCAACAATACTAAAATTTGAAGAAAAGAGAAACATACATAATACTATACATTATTAATAGATTTATTTTCCACAAATAATCAAATACAACAATTTTAGTTAAAAACATATTTTAAGTAATTACCTAACATTATATTTTATTTATCCATATATATATATATATATATATATATATATATTTGTTAAAATAATTACTTATATAATCATGAAATTTGTTTACTTTTCATGAATAATTCGGACAATATTTTTAAACAATTCGCATGATAGATGTTACAAGATCATCCATAACATAAAATTAATTATTATTTAAAGAAATAAATTGTTGATCTTAAATTTGACTCTTATAATACCACTTAATTTTGAATACATTTGTTAGTAGGAAATCGATAAAGGGATCGAAAAACAAAATATGATTGGTTAAAAAACTGATAAAGTGAAAAGATGGTTAGAAAATATTCGATGACCATGTAACAGTATGGACACATAAATCGAGAATTAGAATCGAGAATCGAAGGAGGAATGTTTAATGTCTATTGTTGAAGAAAATCGAGGAATTAGAATCATGTAATGTTAAGGTTAAGGTCAAAAAAGCAATGCAAAGTTCTCGAGATTTTTGAAATCGAAATCGAGGAAAAAGTTAACATGCACGACCATCGAAATTCTGGCTAAGTTAGAAAGAGAGGAACAGTTAACGCGCACATAGAACATGGGAAGCGGTTTCTAAACCGTGGCAGAGAACGAATGTCAAGGGAGCGGTTATCTCATGCATGAGAACGTGAAATACAGTTTTTAAACCGTGGAACTGAGAGACGTGCATGGTGGGTCGTGGTGGCAGTTTTGTTAACTGCTCTTAGTAGGTTATATGAAGGGCGCCCTATAAATAGAGCAAAGCTTGAGGAAGAGCGGGGAAATTGGCAGAGAGAACTGAAATATTAGTGAAAAGTCTACCGGAGAACGACGAAATCATGAAGTTTCTGGCGATCTGGATTTCCGTTTTCATTGATTGTCTTTACCGCTTTTTGTACTTTCCCTGGTAATTTATGTTCATGCAATTTATTGTGATGCAATTTACGTTTAAGAAACTTTAAGTTTCTGCACTTTCAATTCCTAGTTCCTTTACTTTTACGTAAGTTAATGTTATGCGTTTAAGATCCTCGCCATTTACATTCCTGCAATTTCGATTTCCTGTTATTTTCTTTCTTGCAATTTCGATTTCCCGTTCTTTACTTTCCTGCAATTTCGATTCTTTTACACTTAATGCAATTTTGAGGTTTCCGCACTTTACATTTTTTGTGCACTTTAATATTCCGCACTACTTTTCGATTTCGACATTTCTTTTTCTTCGCATTTCTTAAGAAAACATCAAAAATATGTATTCTAGGTCATGCCGTTTTACACTATAAGATTTTCGATTCTCATGCACTTTTCGATTGAAAACTAGTTGCTAGCCTAAGTAAAAAGAATCTACATGGTCGAGATTTGATTAGGACTCAACTCCCCATAAATCGAAATCAATCAAATTTTCACCAGAAACAAATTGGCGCGCCAGGTAGGGGGTCTTGTGTCGAAAAACACAAAATTGGTTAGTTCGAAAGTGTATGAGATTAAGGAGCGGGCGAGTAATAAGAATGAGTCATCCACCAAATAATCAGAGTAACAGTGAGGTTCTAAATGGTTTACATCCACCAAACACTGGGGGGCAAGGTCATAATGGGAATATGCCTGTAATCTCGACAACTGCGAGTATGTCGATACTTGTGAGTAATGAACAAAGTTCAAGTACATTAGCAAACACTCAAGTAGGGTCTAGTACTGTGATATCGAACAATATGCAAACTATGAGAAACCCTATAACAACATATGCAGGGCCGTATATGAGCGTAAGACCGCCTGACTTTTCGATTAATAATATGAATGGGGCTGGTACTTCTTTAATACAACAAAGTACGAGATTTAACCTAGGAATGCCCCAAAACTTAGGCACATTTCAAACCTTAGGCATGCCTCAAAATTTTGGAGTATCCCCAAATTTAGGGGTATCTCAAAATTTAGTAACACCCCAGAATTCAGGAAATGTGCAAAATTTAGGAACACAACAGACGCCTCCAGTGTCAAACCTGGATCATGGGAGACATACATTCGATAGAGATTATCATCGGTCCAATTTTGAGACTATCGAAAATGCTAGTACTGGAATTTCCAGTAACTCATTAGGAGTACTTCGACAACAAATGGACGAAAGCAATTTCGAGATGGTTAACATGTTATCACAACAGTTGACTACAGTATTAAATCCATTAGTGCAAAACATTACCAATAGTTTTGAAATACTAGCAAACCAAATGTCACGTATCGGGGATGCATTGACTATACCTCGACAAACAAGAGTGGAAAATCATGTCAATCAGAACCTTAACCAGAATGCTAATATCAATCCCCCTTATTTATTAAGGAGAAATCGAAACAATGATCAACATCAGCACATGGGGAATGAATATCAACAGGTGAGGAATGATATTTACAGAAATTTGAATGAAGGATTTCAAAATGTGTATAATAACATGCAGTATAATCACATGCTAGGACAAAGGATGAATCCCCAAGGAGTGGAATTAAGACCACCCAATCAATCATATTTTGTTTCTCCTTTTCCAAATACGATTCTCGAGACAGAGTTACCTCGAGGATACAAAATACCTAAATTCACCAAATTTGTTGGAGAAATTGGTGAGTCCACTATCGAACATGTGGCGCGATATCAGATCGAATGCGGGGACCTAGCGATGAGTGAAGAATTAAAAATGAAATATTTCCCTAGTTCATTAACTAAGAATGCTTTCACTTGGTTTACTTCATTGCCACCCAATTCGATATATAATTGGTTGCAATTGGAAAGAAATTTTCATGAGCAATTCTTTAGGGGGGAGACTCAAGTGAGTCTCATCGACTTGATGAACATAAAAAGATACAATCATGAAAGCATAAATGATTATTTGAATAGATTTAGACAAATGAAGTCAAGATGCTTTACTCAAATTCCTGAATATGAATTAATCAGAATGGCCTCTACAGGCTTAGAATTTTCGATTAGGAAAAAGTTAGTTAATTTACCATTGAATGACATGGCTCAGTTAGCCGATAAAGTAAGAAGAGTTGAACAAATC